ACAGGGTGATTTTAAAGCCCTGATTACGTGTTCCTTTGCTCTGAGAAAATAAAATTATCTCCTATAGATTCCTCTCAAAATTAATAATGCCACGATGCATACAGGAGCATGTATGTGTTTACATCAGCTAGTCTGTGTTCAAAATGTTTTCATTATAGTTGGTTTCACTAAAAATCTTAGTTTCTAAGAACTATCAAAAATGTTAAGTGAGAATATACTATACTAAGTGAGAATATACTATACTTTCTGGATGACTAGTGTCCAACTTTCTACCACAGATGCAAGATTGATTATCCAGGTGAATTATTTCTTACCATGGATCAAAGTCTGCCTCACCATAGCTTATAGAGATAAGTAAAGCTTTTTATAGGTGCTAAAATGATGAGATGCGAGTATTATTAAATATCAATCAAAATTAAAATGCTAGTGGTGGGAAAATGCTAATTGGTTTTAACTGCTCTGCAGAAAATCCGTGCTTTTAAGATTCTAATTTCTTTCTGTAATTAAGTGTTAAGCTTTAAATACTAAATATTAGGGTAGGTTTGAGGAAGTACCTCTGTCCTTGGTCATTGCTGAGAGTTTAAAATAGCTCTGTGCATTGAGGATAAAATATTTGGTCACTAAATATATAGACAATATTGCAACAGCTGTGGTGTGGGTAAAATCTGTGGCAACATTTTATCTAAAGCCCCACAGAGAATATTTTTAAGTGATACAAATCAATTTTAAATAGTGTTTAAGTATTATCTTTTTGCTTTCAGTGCAACACATTTATTATTTTTTATTGATGTAACATTGTATTATTACATTATACAAGGTTCAGGTGTGTATCATTAAGAACCAACATGTGTACATATTTCATTAAGTTCCCAGCAAAGACCACAGAGACTATTTTAAAGGTTCTTATTCACTTCTCTAAGTGTTTTCTTCACTTCTGACTTGGTAAATTTCCTTTGCATATCATGTGGATGAAAGAATTTTGGATCCACCTCTTCTACAGTCTGTTTGAGGCTTAAATGCAAGAAAAGGAGGACGGTTATCTGACTATATGATGGAGACTCTTTCTCGTGTCAAGTTGCCTCTAAGACATCACATTTTGGGGTCACTCTGTGAAGGGAAGCATAAGAGCCAGGCATGGTGGGGCTCAGGTCCAGTGATTATTTGCATTCACATGACTTTATTATTCATTATTTATAACAGACAACAGAGACCAAGTTCATGGTCTCATAGTACCATCACACCAAGACATTCTAGCAGTAGAGAAGTGAGATAAAGAAAGAATAGTCTTGGATCCCCAGAGTAATAGAATTTGAAAAAGATCACCTAGATATGCTACTCAGATGTCTTTAATCTTTCTGATGAGCAGCTAGTATCCAGTCACATGCTGCCTATCTTGGGAGGAGTCCAAAGACTATCTCAGGCTTAATGATTCTCTGCAAGACTTACCAGACCCAGGAGTCTCAGACTCACAGTTCCGGTTAACTCAGCGGAACTCAGCAAAGGGGAAAAACACAGGGGTAAAACCAGGAGAGACCAGGCTCAAGCTTCCCAGGACCCTCCCAGTGGAATCACATGGAGACATCTTGGCTTCCCCAGCAGGAAAGTGTGGCAATCAGGAAACTCCCTGAGCCCTCTGTCCTGATTTCACGGAGGGTTTTGCAAGCCCACAGTCCCCACAGTTGACTTCAGCTACTCCAGCCTCCACCAGCACAAATAAGTGGTCACCTTAAGTTCCATTGTTGAGATCAACTTACCTGGTCAAACTGGCCCAACCTAACTCATAAAAATACTCTCTTGGGAAAATAATAATAATGATGAACAACTATATACCAGAGACATTGTATGGGTGTGGAGTGGGGAATGAGATAAAAAAATGGGGGGGGG